CCTCCTACTCACACTCTCTCCCCCTCCCCGAATCGCACTCACCCACCCCCACTGCCCTGCTCTCTGCTGACGATAAACAGGTGACATTCCCCATCTGGGACAAAGACAACTAGAAGCCGACCTCGGTTCTCCTTTTGCCCTAAAATGCTATTTTCCTACATTTCTCAAAGTGCGCATCTGGAAAAGGCCCAAACCCAGTGTCTCTGAGAGTCCTGGCTCTCACTCAGCTCCTGGCCTCAAGGCCTCCTCCCACTGCGGGGCCTCCTCTCTCCACCTGCACACTGGGTGCTGGGCTCTGCCTGCCTCTGATGGATGGAATGCTTTGCAATGAGATCATGGCCACCGCATGCTCTTCAGCCCCCGGGGGGATGCACAGAGTGGGGACTATCACCTAGCGGTTTCCTTGGCTCCAGCTCCTTTCCTGAGATCCCCAGTTTCAGTGCTGGGAGAGCAGTCATCTTTTCTCATAGTTACTAGATCGGTGCCCTCTGGAGTGTAAAACAGAGGGCCTCCTAGGCATGAAGCAAACCTTGATTTCCTATGAAGAAGGGTTTAGGGGACCTCAGCCCCACCTCTATTCAAAAGAAAGGGACAAAAGATTTTGGAAGAAATTACCAATACCTAAAAAGCAGGCTGAGGACAGACAGACCCCCATCCACATTTCCTAACATGAGACTTGATTGGTAAATCTCTGAAGTCGGCTTTGACTTTTCAAATCTTTTTGACACTGTCCAAGTTACTCTACTCAGACACCATGACCACCTGGGAATCTTTCTAAATCAGGGGCAAAAAATTGGGGGGCTGCATTTCAGGAGGGAAAGATAAGTCTCCTTTCTTTGTTGCTGAACCCAAGGGAAACCAGCTGGGTGAAAACAAATGCTGAGGAAGGAATTCAAATTTATTTTTTCATTTTATTTTTTTTTTCCAAGAGAGGACTGTGGGAAACAAAAATTTGCAAAGAATTGACTTACAAACAGGTTGTCGCCTTCCACCCTTCGCCTTCAAAAGGTTTCAGCCACATGCCTGGGGACATTAAACATACGGTTGCTCAACATTATTTGTTGACAGACTCGGAGCCTCACCAAATTGAGTTAACCAACGTCAGTCCAAAACAAAAGGCAAGGCAGTCACAAGGCATGCAATGCTCCCAGCCTGCAGGTCATCCGTCTACCAGAGGACCTCAGGTGCCACCTCAGCCCTTCCTCAGAGGCCTAAGTCATCTTCAAGCTGAGTGACCTCAGGAGATGACAATGAAAGTTTCTCGGGTGTATCTAGAACTCCCAGGTCTCAAGGACTTGAAAAAGTCAAAATGTGAGAGTGGGTGGAAGTGTCCTACAATTTGTTTTTCTCCTGGAAAAAAAAAAAAAAAAAAAAATCAATGGAAAAAAAAAAAAAGTCCAATGATAGGGGGAAGGGGAGAGGGAAGGTAAATTATTTGCAATTTCCAAATAGATTCACTGGCTGTGAGGGAATGGGGTGTGTCGGCATTACCTTTTCTGGGAAGGCTGCTTTCACTAGAGCTATTGGGCGGGGGTGGGGGTGGGGGGGGAGATAAATAAAAGATAAATATAAGAGAGATGGCAGTTTAATGATCATTTGGACCATATCTATTCCTTATCAACCTCACTGAAGTTAAAAGAATGTAGTGATTATCGAGATGTTTTAGGTACCAAACACACAACATATCCACTCGCTACCGTCACTCTTCCATCACTCTTCACAGCTTCAGGATGAGGGGAAGGGAAGATTTCACCTACAAAGGCTGGGGATGGAAATCCACTAGTCCCCAAATGCTTGTATCTGTTTGTGCCGCCTCGTGGGCAGTGACACTGCAGGATGGGGTCACCTATCATCTTGCCAGAAAAATTTAAATGGTGAGGTTACGTAAGACACAGCTTCCTAGGGAACCCTGGAGCTCCCTAGTTTAGATAGGGGTCCCCACCTTGGCCCACAAAGGCAAATTCTTTTCTTTTTTCTTTTTGTTTTTTTTTTGAGATGGAGTCTCACTCTGTTGCCCAGGTTGGAGTGCAATGGCTCAATCTAAGCGCACTGCAACCTCCGCCTCCTGGGTTCAAGCAATTCTGCCTCAACCTACCGATTAGCTGGGACTACAGGCGTGCACCACCACGCCTGGCTAATTTTTGTATTTTTTCAGTAAAGATGAGGTTTCACCATGTTGGCCAGGCCGGTCTTGAACTCCTGACCTCAGATCATCCGCCTGCCTTGGCCTCCCAAAGTGCTGGGATTACAGGCGTGAGCCACCGGCGCCCGGCCAGGCAAATTCTTTTTCTAAGACAAAGCCACACCACGGAGCTTGGAGACGGATGGTTCCCTCTTTCCCACCTCCTGCATTTGGTTTCCAGGCAAAGCCATGTTTTAGGACTCTTAAAACACGTTTTTGTTTTTTTTTTTTTTGAGATGGAGTTTTGCTCTTGTTGCCCAGGCTGGAGTGTAGTGGTGCAATCTCAGCTCACTGCAACCTTTGCCTCATGGGTTCAAGCGATTCTCCTGCCTCAGCCTCCCACGTAACTGCGATTACAGGCATGCACCACCAAGCCCCGCTAATTTTTGTATTTTTAGTAGAGACGGGGTTTCACCGTGTTGGCCAGGTTGATCTCGAACTCCTGACCTCAGGTAATCCCCCCACCTCAGCCTCCCAAAACTGCTGCGATTACAGGTGTAAGCCACCATGCCCAGCCTTTAAAACACTATTTTTAAATGGCCATAACATTCTTAAGAAAGCTCTCAGGGCTGTAAAGAATGAAGCTGTAGTGAGCTGACAAGGAGCCCTGGCATCTTATCTGGTTCCAGAACTCCCTCCCCCGTGCCTTTTGTCTGCCCTGGCTCCTAAGGCATAAACAATTGGGCCTAGTAGCCAAGCCCCTCTCCCAAGATTAGAAATCAAAGCAGATTAAACAGCCTGCCGCTGTTCCCAGCCCAGTCTGCCCCGAGCCCCCCGCTGCCAGCCTGCTTCACTGAAACCAGATGGGGTGCCCACTCAAGGGAAGGGACAGTAGGCACTGGTGGGGGAGCGGACCTGCCATTCTCGATGAGGATGTGATATTCCACATAAGCTCAGTGTGACACTCGGGGTCCGGCCAGCACCCTGCCAATCGTCATGGGTGGGGGAGGGAAGCTGGGCTCCTAAGGGAACCATGGGGCCCAAATCCACTGACTTTACAATTGAATTCCCAGGGGGATGGGGTGGTTGTCCAGCAAGTTGCCACAGCCTTTAGAAATCCCAGCCTGACTCCAGCTTTCAGGAATTGCCTGGAAAGTCGTGGACCTGACTTCTACTAGATTTCTCCGTCTCTATTCCACACATCTGCTCGTGCACAAACTGGCCTGTACTCCAGGACAGGCCAAAGAACAGTTGGCCGGAGCCCCAGACAGCATTGACCCAGACTGTGAGATGGCCACTTATGTCCAAACAGTGCCTTTCTTCTCCTGAACGCCACAGGGCGGCTCCTGCAGACCAGGGTGGGGGCTGGCCTTCCCCAGGTGGGACGGGGATGGCAGGCCACAGAGAGGAGACGGGAGAAAGTCCACAAAACGAGGGCCTCCCACAGGAACCCAGTCCAGACACAGGTCTCTGCAGATCTAGGCGTCACGCATCAATCTGAAGAGGTACACACGCCTCGCAACATCTGACCACCAAACACAGCTCCAAGTGGTCTCCAGGAAACCCCCAGACAAGGGCCCGCAATGCCGAGACTGTTCAATGTTCTGATACAAAGGTGGTAGCTAATACTTTGCTCATGTATGTGATTTTGTGCAAACCAAGGCCTCAGCAGAGACAGGGGCTCGGTACAGAGCAGGTGCCCTTGTGAGAACTCTCCTTAGATCTACGCAGAGCAACACCTCACCAGGGCAAAAAGTCATCTCAGAGGCAAATCCCAAGAAGAAATGGTGTGGTCTGGCTACAGAATGGAATATTATTCAGCCATGAAAAGGAATGAAGCTCTGACACATGCTACAATGTGGATGAACCTGGAAATCATTATGCTACGTGAAAGAAACCAGACACAAAAGGCCACATATTGAATGACTCCAATTACATCGCATGTCCAGAATAGGCAAATCCACAGAGATAGAAAAGAGATGAGGGGTAGCCAGGGGAAAGGCGGGGAGAAACAGGAAGTGACTGCTTGTGGGTACAAGGTTTCTTTTCGGAGTGATGAAAATGTTCTGGAATTAGTGGTGATGATGACACAACCTTGTAAAGACACTAAAAACCACTGAATTGTATACTTTGAATGGTAAATTTTAGGGTATATGAATTATATCTCAATTTAAATAAAAGAAAATGAATATTTGAATAGCTGTGTTGAAAAAACAGGAACTAGTAGAACGAAAAATGGGCCTTTTTTGCCCCAAGTCTCCAGGGTTTGTTTTGTTTTGTTTTGTTTTATGTATGAGACTGGTCTGGCTCTGTTGCCCAGGATGGAGTGCAGTGGCGCGAACTCAGTTCACTGCAACCTCCACCTCCCAGGCTCAAACCACCCTCCCACCACAGCCTCCCAAGTGGCTGGGACTACAGGCTCGCACCACCACGCCTGGTTTTTTGGTATTTTTGGTAAAGACAGGGTTTCATCATGTTGGCCACGCTGGTCTCGAACTCCTGACCTCAAGTGATCCACCCACCTCGGCCTCCCAAAGTGCTGTGATTACAGGCGTGAGCCCGGCCCCAAGTCTTCAGTTTTTTACCCAGTTTGGGACTTGTCTTACGTGCCTGGGGACACGTGATCAAGTCCTAGCATGAGAAAGGCGGTGGCAAGGTCGGGCCACTTGTCCTTTTCAGGGACACTCATGGAGCAAAGGACACACATCAGTTACCTGAGCCTCCGCCCTTGGTCCTAGGACGTGGGGTGAGTAAAGGAAACTTGATGTGTGGGAAACTAGCACCGTCCCCATCAAGGGCAGAGAAAAGCCTCGGCCCCAGGGAACTAGGGACGTCCCCAGCACATATGGAGACTAGCTCAGAGACAGTACCCAGGGGGACTCAGACACTGGCTTCCTCAGGGTCTCTCCCCAGTCAGATCTGGGGTCCCTGGGGAAAACACATAGCCAAGACCTGACCTCGGACCAGGCCAGGCCCTTCCAAGATCCACACCCATCCTCCAAATAACAGTGACCAAATCTCCCAATCCCTCGCACCACTTTCTCCATGTGAGGAGGAGGAAGAGGCAGGGTCCCTGAAATCTCACGGTGCTTTCTCAGAGGTACTTCCTCTTCCCCAAGGGGGTTTTGGCTGCCCCCAACCTGGAGGTGAACAGAAACTCCAGGGCCTCCGGGTGGGGCTCCTGCGGGCATTCCCCTGCCCCCTGCCCTGCAGAACCAGAACTGAGGCCAGCTTGAGGCAGGAAGCAGGAGGGAGAGGGGCAACTGTGGAGGACTTCAGCATGACCTGTCCCACACACGGAGCATCGGCAGAGCTCAGGGGCCGGGCACGCACGCGAGGAGAGAAGGGAACCTTCTTACCCGCGTCCTGTCCTCGATCTCGTAGATCCGCAGCTGCATGGGCACGTTAAAGCTGTGCAGGATGTTTCCGCCGAATACCAAAGAGTCTACAGGGGTGTAGACGGCATGGATCCAACCTGGGGTGGGAAGGGCAAGGAGAGGATGAGTCGCTGGCCCCTGTGGGCTCCCACACCTCACAAGGCTGCAGGGAGGGAGAGCGAGCGTGCAGGAGAGCGCAGGGAGTGGAGAAGAGCAGCCAGGGCCTGGAGCAGCGGTGCCCAGCGATGCCTGCTGCAGAACACCCAGGCCTGGGTCGCCGAGAAGACTCACACTTGCAGCCCTGAGCAACCACTGCCCGGCTCAAGTCAGGAGCCGGGAAGCTGCAGATCAGCCCCCACTTCTTGAGGACTGTGATGACAAAAGCTTCCTCCGGGGACCTGGCTGCAATGGCCAGCAGAGAGGCAGGCCCTTTCCCCACCTACACGCGGGCCAGGGAGTCCTGCCTCCCCTCCCAGGTGGCACACAGGTCCAGAGCCTTTCCCCACCATCCCACAGGGGTCACAAAGGATGCTTGGAACCATGACGAAGGACTGACGTCTTGCCAGAGCTGCAGGACCCAAGCACTTTCCTCCGCCCAAGTCCATCTTCTTGTCATCACACTCCACCCAGGCCCCTTTCCACACAGTCTCCTTGGTCACACAATGCCTGCATGCCCCCCTCAGCTCTGCCTTCAACTCTGCCCCACGGGCTGCTGGCTGCTGGTAAGTCTCTCCTGCAGCTTCTCACAGCTGGGAGCTGCAGGTTTCCATCTCTTCAGGCTCCCAGCCGGGAGCCAGACACAGTCACCACCACAAGGGAAATGGAGGCAGGGCCAGGTGTAGTGGTGCACCTCTGTGATCCCAGCACTTGTGAGGCTGAGGTGCAAAGACCTTGAGCTCAGGAGTTTGAGATCAGCCCGGGCAATATAGTAAGACCTCATCTCTAAAAAAATAAATAAATAGCGGGGCATGGTGGTGCACACCTGTTGTCCCAGCTACTCAGGAGGCTGCGGTGGGAGGATCACCTGAGCTCCAGAGTTTGAGTCTTCAGTGAGCTGTGATAATGCCCCTGCACTCCAGTCTGGGTAAGAGAGCAAGACCATCTCAAAGAGAAAAAAAAAAGAAAAAAGGACAACAGAGGGCCCACCTTGTGCCAGGCACAGTGGTCTAAGGGCTTTCTGGGCCTTAACTCATTGATTCTCATGAAATCCCTAAAAAGTGTATACTATGTTCAACCTCAATTTACAGATGAGGGCCAGGCACGGTGGCTTATGCCTATAATCCCAGCACTTTGGAAGGTCGAGGCAGAAGGATCACCTGAGGTCAGGAGTTCGAGACCAGCCTGGCCAATATGGCGAAACCCGTGTCTACTAAAAATACAAAAATTAGCCAGGCGTGGTGAGACATGCCTATCATCCCAGCTACTTGGGAGATGGAGGCATGAGAATTCCTTGAACCCGGGAGGTGGAGGTTGCAGTGAGCCACTGTACTCCAGCCTGGGGGACAGAGTCAAAAACAACAACAAAAATTACGGATGAGGAAAGTGAGGCACAGAAAAATGAAGCCACCTATCAGGATTTTGAGCCTGGGAAGTCAGGCTCCGCATGGTCCATGAAGGCTGGGAGTAAGCCCCTCATTCACTGGGACACAGAGCTAACGCATTGCAATTCACAGTGGCCATACTGCAAGTACTCAGGTGACATGTGTGTGGCTCCTGGCTGCCGGGTCACACAGCGTGGGGTCAGGGGATGGGCAGGAGGAGAATCAACCCCAATTCACAGATGCTGAAACTGAGGGCACAAAGGGGAAAGTCACTTGCTGAACGAATCGCAGCTGGCAAGCGACAGCAGCTCCGTTTTTAGCCACCACGCTGTACAGCTGCCGCTGCATTAATGGCTCCACACAGGCCTGTGAGTCCCGGGGGACAGGCAGGGAAATACAGAGGGGAGGCAAAAGGAGAAATGCAGAGAGAAATAAGGACAAGGGCGGACAGAGGCGGAGCGACTCACAGTGAAGGACAGAGGAGGGTCGGCTGGGGGAAGGGTGCAGGAGAGGGAAGGGTGGCGGCACCCCAAGACCCTGCACCCTGAAGGGCCTGGCCCTGGAGGCCACTGTCCCCTCCTCTCCCGGCCATGCACTTTATTCTTTTGCTCTGAGGAAAATTACAGCAACTGCCCCTGCCCCCCAAGCCCGAGCGGTTCCAGTCTCTTTTCCCCAATGAAACACGCCAGCCCTGAGTCATGGGTGGTCACCGCTGCTGGGAGCAACACTACCGCCTGGAAGACAGCACAGACTGTGAGGCCACTGCTGGCATCTGCAATGGACACTCAGCCGCTGGCTCTCCCCACCAGGGCAACGCATGGAACAGAGCTGGCCATCCTCAGGGGAGAGCAAGGCAAAGCTCGTCACCAGGAGCCCAGTGCTGCCCAGTAAAAGCACGAGGGCTTTGCTTTAGGGAACCTCATTCTGTGCCTGGCTTCCAGAGCCTCTGGCGTGGGCCATGAAAGACAGCTGCTGTGCTGACCAGGTGTGCAGTTGCAAGTGGCTGTCGAGCTCCCCAGCTTCCCACCCCACCGCCTTCACCCTCCTCTGCACAGGAGCATGGCTGCCGCCCTGAAAGAGCCTCTGTCTCCACATCCACTTCAGTCTCCTGCCTCTGCTGCCTGCAGGCTGACCTCAACATTTCCATGTTTCCACCAAGTGGAACCATGCTATTGAATGTTGTTACTGTCGCCAGCCCCATTATCCTGGCAACATTTCCTAGTTGTACAGGCAACGAGGATGGTGCGTATAAGATGCAGGTGCGTCTTATACGGCCTCACAAGTCCACCTCCCTCTCTGCGGAAAGCCCAAGTCCAGGGGCTGGGATTCCAGCCTGTCCCCTCCACTCTCCTCCCTTCTGGGGAACTTGCTGAGCAAGTCCTGAACCCATATAAGCAACTGGCATTGGTATCTGTGGTCGTCTCAGTCGATCATGAGGGCTCTGGTAGAGGATGGTGCCCACGTGCATCCATCTTTACCAGCCCTGGACTCTCCCTATTCTCCTGGCAGGTGCAGAGGCCGACACACCTGACTTACATCTGTTGCCCTGATGCGTGAGCAAAGAGGAACACAGAAGAGGCTGCTGCTGCAAGGAGGGGGCAGGGGATCTGCACGCCCAGACGCTCAAGGGATTCTAGAAGCTTCTACCCACTCCCCTTCCCAGCAGGGCCTCAAGGGTGGGTCAGGCAGCCACCCCTGGATTAGCCACCACCACGTCCCTCCCCCAGCTCTGCTCACATCTGCTTCGTTACCCACACGCCTGCCTCGGGAAGGAGGCGTGGAAATAACAGCGTTCGTGGGCCCATCCGTACCGCCCCTGATGGCCTCTTGACAGCCCAGGAAGCATGAGAGCCGGTGTTCCCCGGCTGCTGCCTGGGCTGGGGACGCTGGCATCTGCCTCCAGCTTCCAGCCAGAGTCATCGACAATATGAAGGCAATAAACAGAGGCTATTCAGGCCAAGCAACCAGGTACAGATGCAGTCATGGATGGGAAGCCAGTGATCCACAAAGCAGCACATTCTCTGGGACCTGAGGGGGTCCAAGAAGGGCAGCGGGGGCACGTGGAGTCTCACCCACAACCAAGACGCTCAGGACTCAGAATCCAAAGGCCCCACCCACATCTGCCTCCTCCTCTGCGACTTTGGCAGGAATAAACACAGAGGTCTCAGAACTCGACACGGGGCACCTCACAGATGCCCACAACCCAATCGGACCCTGGCTTCCTTCACTGACATCAGTGAACTCCCTGCACCGGGTCAGGATCAGGAACGGCCCTGTGGCTGCTGAGATGAAGTGAGGATAGCCTCTCCCTTCAAGGACCTCATAGTTGGGATCAGGGGCCAATTACTTCACACCACCCCATGTTTAAAAATTGAGATATTTCTTTTGTTGTTGTTTTGTTGGTTTTTGTTTTTTTTGAGACAGAGTTTCAAAAGACAGAGTTTCACTGTATCGTGCCATTGCACTCCAGCCTGGGTGACAGAGCAAGACTCCGCTTCAGGGAAAAAAAAAAAGAAGTTTGTTAAATAAGCAAATAGTTCACACATAGTCACAGAGTTAAAAAGGAGGCCCAGATCCCAAGTCTCCTGACTCCCAAGCTGCTGGGGTTCAAGGTAGGTATACTTAGGAATGTGTGTTTTGAAAGTAGGCACACCTGGGTTCTTACTCTGACCTGGTCACTGTGAGATTTTAGGCCTTAGGTATTTTCTGTATTTGTTTTAAAAAAAACGGTGTCACATGCCTGTAGTCCCAGCTACTCTAGAGGCTGGGATAGGACGATTGTTTAAGCCCAGGAGGTCAAGGCAAGGCTGCAATGAGCTGTGATCACACCATTGCACTCCAGCCTGGGCAAAAGAGCAAGACCCTGTCTCTAAAACAAAATTTAAATTTTTTCTTAGCCTGGCACAGTGGCTCACACCTGTAATCCCAGCACTTGGGGAGGCTGAGATGGGCAGATCACCTGAGGTCAGGAGTTCAAGACTAGCCTGGGAAACACAGTAAAATCCCATTTCCACTAAAACTACAAAAATTAGCTGGGCGTGGTGGCGCATGCTTGTGATCCCAGCTACTCAGGAGGTTGAGGCAGGAGAAGCTTGAACCCAGGAGGCAGAGGTTGCAGTGAGCTGAGATCGTGAGATCGTGCCATTGTACTCCAGCCTGGGCAACGAGAGCAAAACTCTGTCTCAAAAATTAAATTTTTTTTTCTTTTTTTTTTGAGACAGAGTCTTTTGCTCTGTCACCCAGGCTGGAGTGCAGTGGCGCAATCTCGGCTCACTGCAAGCTCTGCCTCCCAGGTTCACGCCATTCTCCTCCCTAGCCTCCCGAGTATCTGGGAACTACAGGCACTCGCCACCACACCCGGCTAATATATATATATATTTTTGGTATTTTTAGTAGAGACAGGGTTTCACCATGTTAGCCAGGATGGTCTCGATCTCCTGACCTCGTCATCTGCCCGCCTTGGCCTCCCAAAGTGCTGGGATTACACGTGTGAGCCACTGCGCCCGGCCTAAAAAAAATTTTTTTTAAAAATAGGTGGGGAATATTAAATTTTTCCA